AGGATATTCATTTAGACTTAAAAATAACTCACCCTGAGTTACCATGATAGATAAAATGTATGTAATAAAAGTCATTAATGAAGGGAAAAAACTCAACCAGACTTTAAGTTTAGGGTCTGGTTCACAGAGTATGAAGTTAATTATTTCCCCAATTATTCAATGAAAAAAAAAAAAACCTCATTTAAGTAAAATAAAATTATAATCAAAACTTTTGGAATTGTAATGATTTATTTTTTAAAACAAAACGTTTAGCTTAAAAAACTTTTTAAGGTTTTTTTTTTATTAACTCATTTTTGTCTCGTGAACTTAAAAAGCTATTTGCCAAACAAACTTTTATTTGCACACATCAGGAATCTTTTCATGTGAGAATCACCAGCAAAACTTTGAGTCACAAACAAAACAAACTTAGAATAGCAAGAAAAGATTTATGACGTGCAAATAAGTTTGTTTTGCAAATAATTTTTTCACTTCATTATACAAAAATGTTTTTAAACTCTAGGTTAGGTTTCAACCATGTTTCTTGAACACATATTATATCTGGGATTATTTCTAAATCATAAACAAACTTTTTAAATTCTTGTCCATTGACTATTAAACTTCTGCCATTCCATTGAAGAATATGTAGAACCATTATAAAAGCTTCAATCCTAATCCTGAGCATTTTCTGTTTCAGTGGGACTCAAAATTTTGAATCATTTACCAGGTCTAGTTCTACTTATGCCCAGCTGCAGTTACCTGTTCTGGACCTCAGCATGTTGCTCATCCCCAGCAGCAGCGCCCTCTGCAGGTCTGGAGGAGGCTGAGCTGTCTGCACCCAGTAGCAGCTGACGGCTGCTGGGAGCTGCAGCTCAGGCGGCAGGAGGCGCAGAGACTCCTGGGTCACTCCCAGAGCTTCCAGTAGGACGTTCAGACGGTCAGAGAGCGCCACCTGGAGGAAGACCATCAGGACAGGGTTCAGTCCCTGAAAGCTCTGCTGAGGGACACTGGTAGACGAGGACATGAAGACAGGTTTACAGTCTTCGGTTTGAATAAAATCACCTGCGGCAGGGAGTCGAGTCTGAGCCTCTGGCTGGTTCTGGTGAACGTTGGCTCCACTGGGACGGATATCAGGCTGAGACCCGCTCTGTCAAACTCCACTGGAGTGAACTTGTCTTTGCCCAGCAGCAGGCCGTACATCACCTGTCGCAGCGGCCTGGAGGTCTGGTTGGCGCTGGGCAGCTCTTGGGTCTCAATGCCAAAACCGAGGTTCATCCTGTGGAGCCGCAGAACGTCCAGGACATTTTCAGAGAGCCGGGCCTGAGTCAGGGGCAGCAGCATCCAGCTGGGGACGAGGTCATCTTCCTGAAGGAGACGACACTGTCAGCTCGGCGTGGTTTCACTGTCATCAGTCCTGAACCCTGCTGACATCTGGACCTTCTGGAGAGATCCTGGACATTTCAGGTCCAGAGTTTGAAGCTTGCATCACTGCATCCCCTTCAGTGATGACTTAACATCAGTGAAACCTGATAAACGACTGAACATTTTAATACATGTTCTCAACATCGCCTTCTAGCCAGCCCTGAGTTGCAGTTCTAGTTGCAGGTGTTCTGGAGTGAACGGGTTTCTAAACTGGATACAGAGTGCTGGGAAAGTGAGTCCAGGGTGGGGAACCTGTTCTTTACCATAGCAGGGCAGCAACACGTCGATCTCAGCATCAGGAGACAAACTGAACGCCGACAGGAGGCTGAGACCAGCAGGTCCTCCTCTGATTGGCTTAAAACGTTCATAACTTTATTAAAGAACAACAAAAAAATCAACAAAACGTGCTCAAATTAATGACCCAACAACAATAATAATCTCAGTAATTATTGTTTCAACAAGGTGTTGCGCAATTCTGTGCGTTTCGGTTCCATTACCAAAATAACGAGCAGAGCAGGAGTTTAAATGAACTAATCAACCACCGCTGTGTTCAGGGAGGATTTTTAATGATATATATATATATATATATATATATATATATATATATAGTATTGTGTTT